TGATTCGACCAATCAACTTTACTGTAACAAGTTGTAAACAAATCAACGTGAATTAGTTTACACGTGTTATAGTTAAAAGTTTTGTCCTATAGCAAAATGGAAACCTCCAATATTTTATTTTAAAAAAGAAACGAAGAACAAAAAGAAGTATTAGTAACATATATAGAAAATAATAAGAAAACGAACAATATAAAATTCGACAACGAATTTACAAGAAAAAGACAATTTGATTTGTGGAGAGAATTAGTTCTAATTATGTATTGGAGCTAAAAAATCCGCCGTGTAATGGAAAAAGTATTTTAATTTAATCCTTTTTTCATATAGTTTTCTTCCTTGATCTCGTATTAAATTGTTTTGTTTATTAAGATTATTTATTAATCAGAACTTAACACTAATGATTAATAAATAATCTTAATATAGTGTCTATGCTCTTAATAATTTATACATATAATTTACTATCATTATAATTCTTTTTGTCGATGAATAAGCTACTTTTTATTTTTGGAAAAATTTGCTATATAATTTTATCAATTATGAATTAAAATTTTTTATTAGTGATGACTTGACATAAAAAGAAATGGCATCTACTCGTGTTCGAAAAATTCGTTGATTTCTTAAACAACTCTTTCGGCTCTTTCTAACGCTTCGATTAATAGCGTATTTGTCAGCCATTTTCAATTTCGTGTAGCGATCTCACATGCTCGACTCAACGTGAGTAGCAACTCGCATGGTGAGATGGGAAAGCATGTGAGTTATAACTGGAAACTACCGATTTGACGTCAGAGTGTGAGATGGTACCACGTGACACCTTCAACACGTTGGGAGTTGTAACACGAAAAACTCGAGACTAAGGCCCCTGTCGTCTCCAAACCGCTCTGGTGTCCAGGCTGGCAGTCGGAAAACAGGAAGTGCCGCCATGACAGTCCACATAACTGGACTTTAACCATAATTTAATTCAAAGAACAAAACAACCGAATCTTACTCGAAATAGTATTCTTTATCCAGGAATAAGCGTATTTTGTACACCAGTTCTTTATCAATCCAAGAAAATATCCCTAATCCGAAATCTTCGTTCGAATCTCCAACAAAATCTTCTAACTAAATAAAGCGAGCCGTACAAAACAAAATTTGTAAACACGTGGATAGCGACAATATCGGTTTCGTTCGCCATCTTGAATACTGAACGCATGAGCCGAAACGTAAGCGGATTGCACTTTTGTGTGGTGTTTTTCTGGGGACTGTGTGTCTTGCCGAATCGAACGTTTTTAATACTAGATTAACTTTTTATATTTTTCAATATATTTATTTTGTTTGTAAAAAATAAAGAAATAATTTTTAACGATACAATAGCCACGATTATTATTTTGAAAAGTTTACATTAGGCTTAACATCGACGAAAATGTAACGAGAAGCGACACGCAACGGAGAAAATTTTCAACATGGGATAGATTAATATATTTTTTTCGTGTGTAATCGGTTATCCGAAAAATAAGTTATCCGAACAACCTCAGTCTCCAATTGATTCGGATAAACGACGCTCTACTGTACATATAATTTTGTTTTATAATATTTTTGCATATCTATATAAATTCTACGTATATTAATATTAATGTTTTTCTTTGAGTCTTTATGCCCTGTAATTCTCATTGTAATTCATCATCCGCGTTGTATACTTATTGAAATACCCATTGTATTAAAATACCTATCATGTAATTCGTCAACGTTTTATTTATGGTGGTTGTTAAGGAAACTAACAATTTCAAAACTTTACAGGAATGCTGCAAGAATTCTTTGTTAGTAATGAATAGAATGTATTAAAAATACAGATGCAATTTTTCCAAATTCCTTCATTTTGCATGAAAGCGTGTAAAAATGTATTCAATGTTTCGTAGTCTTCTATCAGTGAAAGAGTGGATAAAATCACTAAAAACTGATAGTTGATCGCAGGTTCGAAATTCACCAAATGGCTGGTAGAGTAGATTTTTCTACGTCGTTTTCACGTGTCTTAAATAGTAGCCAGTTTCTCATAGACATGCCTTTTAGGAGGACCTTCAACTTGTCTTGTTATTTTATTATACCAGTAGAAATTAGAATACTTTTAAAATATTACATTAAAAAATATAGAAAAATAATGAATTTTTCGTGGGAATCCGTGATCGAATCCGGTTTGTCGCAAACTCCAGCAATTTTTCGAAAAGATGTTAGCCGCTGAGATATGTCGTCGAAGCTTCTGGATTGAAACAATAATAGCTTATCGGCACTCTATCATTGGGTGAATGATTAATGTTGATTGTCATATGTACAAATTTCGGAAGGCCAGTAAATTTTTACCGTTTTATTTTCCCGTATCTGTTATATATAACAGGAAAAAAGTAGGCCTATCGGTCAAAAAATGAATCCCAAAACCTTTACATCTTTGGACTTTGGGATGTTAAAACATCGAGAAATGCAAAAAGATTCGAAGTTTTTTCCTCTGTATGAATGTTAGTGTATGGGGGCACACGATTTTGTTCATCTCCTTTGAAGCTTGATAGTTCCTGTGCTTTTTGTCTAAATTTTCTAAAATTTTTGCACGGTTTATTAGAATATTGACGCTATTAAGTTTTGGTGGTTAAAGGTCGAGGGGTGAAAAGATAACGAGGGTCGTGTGTATCTTCAGTAGAATGTGACTTAATGACGATTTTACCCGTTATTTACAATTTTTTTTACAAAACCCATTCCTACTCTCAAAATAAAGTATTTTTTTTACCATTTTATAATAATTAAAAATATAAAAGTTCTTTTTAATAAAATATCGTAACAGCTGGCGACACTAATTGTTGCCGGAAAAGTAAAGCAACTCGTTGCTGGGTTTTTCATTTTTGTATCAGAAAAAGCTTACACTTAGAAGCCAAGCATACGCTTAAGATTAATAAAAACCCAGCTTGAAAAGCATTGCCTATGAATCGTTGGCTTAAAGAATAAAATTCTAATATTGCTCGCAACTGCATGTTGTACAGTAATATTCAATAAACTGTTTCCTCACACTTTATTGAATATTACTGTACAACATGTGTCTATCAATTTGATGTCTGTTTTATAAATGACAAAGTATATTTACAGCAAATTTTTTTTGTTTGAGGAACCAGCCATTTCTAGGCCCACCGATGGCTAGTGGATAAAACCAATGAATGTTGGTAGTTACTCATGACTTCGAGCCTCTCTAACGTGCAGTTTTTCGGGTTTTATTCACATTCTTAACTCAAACTCTTTCGACAATAAACTTTTCTTGCACAAGACGAAACTCTAATTTACTTTGAACAATTGTTACGCAGTTATCAATATAAAAAACTCTTCATGATTTTCGGAATATCATCTTCTGGATATGTCGACTCTCATTTCTTGATCAATTTTAAAACTGACTGAAGGTGATACTGGATCACAGCTTCCAGAAAAAAGACACTATAACATACACAAAACATCAATCTACAATGTCTATATTGTTTCAAATGTCCATCAATTCCATGCCATAAAAATGGGAGAAAAGTCTTATCATTAGGAAACAAACTGATTTATAGAAAAGCTTCACGAATGTCTGCCTCTGCACCTATTTATTCCAAATTGATACGAATTTAAATCGTAGGAATCAATTCAATGAGATCTAATCCTTTTTCAAGACATTCGTTAAGACTGGGGAAATTATTTTGTTTAACCGATGAATCAAATACAGGTTATTTATTCTAGCTGGGATATTCTTATTGACTACAAGTCTATGTGGTAAATAATGACCAGACTCTTTAATCTTACTGCAAACAGACCTTCATCTAAAATCTGATATCATTATCCTTAGTTTCTGTCAAAAGTATTTCTTTAATTTTGTCCTCAACTATTAGCATCAATTTCGCCTTTTTTCGATTAGACTTAACGTTATAAGATTTTCATTATCCGATAACTCGTCTTCTTTCTCGTACTCATTGCATACTTTCTTAAGCAATCTTCTGTGCCGCTTTTAACGTCTCCATCTTTAAAATAAATAGGTGTAAAATTCAATTTGCAGCCGAATCCTGTGGCACACGCCAGTTGATCTGGCTACCCATAAAAAAAGTCCTAAGAATTGGCTCTCCCGGATTCGATTTCCAGGCTTGCACTTTAATCGACACGTGAATGATTAATGCTTTGAAATAAATGGAATACATTGAAATTATTTTAGAGTAAATTCCTATTTTTTGAGTCATAATTAAAACATGTCAAAGACGTTTATAATATCTGCATTATTACGAAATTTAATGATGATAAATGTGTCATAATATACATATATCTGCGTGTCACGTGTATAGTTCTCAGCTATAAAATTCGCACTATAAATAAAGGCGAGTAAATATAAAATATCAAAAGCTATGAATACAGAAGTGATTTGCGTCGTTATATTAATTCTTTGCATCAATACCGATGCCACAAGTAAGAACCTTTTCTTTTCGTGAGATTAAAATATTCATATTTTCATCAATTTTGAATTAATTTTCAATTTAGGATATGATATACCAATAAACTGTCATCTTCAGCCAGATAAAGGACTATGTCGGGCAGCAATACCTCGTTATTATTATAATATTTCTACTTATAAATGCAAACTTTTTCTTTATGGTGGATGTCTCGGAAACGGAAACAATTTCGAATCTTTACAGGAATGCTCCGATCATTGTTCTGCAGGTAAGTTCAGCTATTTAATATTCTAAATTAAGCTGGCAATTACTTTTTAAATGAATATAAAAATTTTACGCTAGTGTTCTGTTTCTCCCCCCTGAAAATTTAGATGATCTACCAAAACCAAGTGGTAAAAACAGTCAAAACTGGTAGCTGGTCACGAGTTGGAACGTCATCAGCTGACTAGGCTCATTGAGTTTTTACGTCTTTTTCGTGTGTTTTACTCGTTAAATAAAGTTGGTTTCTCATAGAAAGTCCTTTCGGGTATACTTCCTCTTTCGTGTCTATCTGCTGTTGTCTGTAAAAAGAATAAATGTCTAAAAATGCTGCAGAGTCCATGTTATACATTAACAACTAATAAAGTGTCAGGAAGTGTTTATAAGCGTTTGTGGTTTATACGTTACGAAGTATATTGAAAATAATCTGGTTTGTTCGAAGAATCAGCCATTTCGGAACCCACCAGTGGCCGAATGGCTAAAATCACTACACACTAGTAGTTTGTCGTGGTTTAACCGGGATATTTTTACGTTGGTAACATGTAAATAGGCGTGTAAAGTCCTTCTGGGAAGCATCATAGTTCGGCACAACGCCCACGTGTCGCTTTGACGAAAAACAATAAACAAAAACCAAACATTCCATCGTATTTCGTGGTAAAAATAACCACTACATATGATATGCTATTTTTATACTTTTGAAATTGTGTATTGTTTATCGAAATATATTCTAGGTTGTATTTGTATAGAATGCATCAAAAATATATGGGGTGTTTATTCAAAATTTTATTGATTTTTAATGAAAACGAATAGTAGAATTTAACTTTATGTTTTTTGATTTCTGGTGTAACTTTTCAAAATATTAAAGTATAATATAAATTTACTAAGATAAAGAATTAATTAAGTAGGCACGTATTGTGGAAACAAGAGATTTACGTGTTTAATATTTCTGTTACATGTAATAAACTGAGGTATTTAACAAATTATATTTATATAATTTATTTTATAAACTATAAATAGAAGACAGCTGAAGTAACTACATTAACTGCAATTATAATATTTATTAAAACCTTTAATAAATAAAACTTTGTTGTTTTATTATCATCCTATATGTATATGAAAAGTGCATACATCTTATACTTACGTATTAAAAAAAAATAAAAAGATAAAACTACTGAAGAATCAGTTAACATTTTTCCAGGTATAAATTGTATTTGATGAAAAATGCTATTCCCTTCACTATTCAAAAACATCTAATTAAAAGCACTGTAATATAAATCCACATGCATCATCATATACAGATTCTTCCACAAAAAAATAATATTATATGAAAACATTGCAGTGTACAGTACATAAAAACATTGGAAAACTATCTAAGTTTCACACTTACATTTACCATTGCATTTATCATTATATTATATTATATTTACCAATACAATTTCAAAATATGTATACCATATATAACACAGCACACATCTAACCAATACGTAAATTCTTCCTACACTCTCTATGTCATATCCATTGTCATTCCTGTCACGGTTCCTACAGATTATTCATCTATCTATTCTATCGCGCAATGAGTAAATCCCACTTTTTGTGGATTCGCCATTTTTGTTTACGTCACTTCTTATATATATATATATATTAGACAACAATACGTTTGAATGCGGATGAGACATGAAATTCGCACCGTTACTCATCTCTTGGAATACAATCGCATACTTCTCAGATAATAATTAACGTAATTACAGCAATTTAAAGTAGACCCCGTATAACTTTATCATCATAAACGTTATAGTGTGTATCGATAATTCATATATGTATTCATCAATATGTTTCCTGATAATAATGTATCAAACGCTTTGACGGCCAACTGTTTCGTCGCATCAACAACTTCATTTTGAAACGATACAAACGATCAAGATCTTTCTACGCAATGAGTTTGTGGACATTACTTGGTTACAAGAATGATCTTCTTCAGTCATTTGTTCTCTAAACTTACGATTAGAATATCGAAATCTGTCCCAACCACGAAGTATTTCGTCTAGTAATGACTACTCAACTAGTGGTTATAACATCGCTGCATACTTATCTCTTGCAATTCCTTACGTTTCTAATGCTTATAACTTTGTTTCAAGTTGATCATAAAGTTTTCATAAAGAATTTATATTAATTGAATTATTTTTCTGTAATCCTAGAGAATGATCTCGAACGAATACTTCTATAAGTAATTCTTCTCTACAAAAACGGGCTTGTAATTGTTTCTTTTCATTGGAGGGCAATCTCTTAATGAATGTTTTGGCAGGTGTTTCCTATTGCAATACTTGAGATAAAAAAAGCGAATTTCTGTAAATTTCTCTAAATTTTGGAACTCGATCGAGATCAACTTCGTCGATTTTTTAGAACTGTCCCCGGAATCCAAACCATTTCTTCACAATACCATCAAATGTAGGTAATTATAACTTCGGATATCACAATAACGAATTTTACGAAATTGGTTTTTTAATTGTCTGTGGCTATGAAGGAACGGGCATATTAAATTCAACGAAATTCTCAACTTTTCCTTTAAGACTACTCATTTTACTGTGCATAATCCGTTTATTGATATATGTTTCCGATTCGTCTATTTCTGGCTCAGTAATATTATTATTCGTTGTGTCTGTCAAAAGTATTTCTTTAACTTTGTCATCAACTATTAGCGTTAATTTCGAATTTTCATCGATTAGACTTAACGTTATAATATTTCCATTATCTGATAACGAGTCTTCTTTCTCGTATTCATTGCATACTTTCGTAAACAATCTTCTGTGCCGCTTTTAACGTCTCCATCTTTAAAATAAATAGGCGTAAAATTCAATTTGCAGTCGAATCATATGGCGTACGCCAATTGACCTGGCGTCTCATAAAAAAATCCTGAGGATTAGCTCTCCCGGATTCTATTTCCAGACTTGCACTTTGATCGACACCTGTATGATTAATGCTTTGAAATAAATGGAATTCTTTGATATTATTTTAGAATAAATTTCTATTCTTTGAGTTTTAATTAAAACATGTCAAAGGTGTTTATAATATCGCGGTATTATTACGAAATTTAATGATGATAAATGTGTTATAAAAAATATATATACATTTATATATATATATAACTGCATGTGTCACGTGTGTAATTCTCAGCTATAAAAACACAGTATAAATAAAGCCGAGTAAATATATAAAACATCAAAAGCTATGAATACAGAAGTGGTTTGCATCGTTATGTTAATTATTTCCATCAATACCGATGCCACAAGTAAGAATATTTTCGTGCGATTAAAATACTCATATTTCCATTAATTTTGAATTAATTTTTAATTTAGGATATAATATACCAATAAAGTGTCATCTTCAGCCAGATTCAGGACTATGTCTCGCAGACATGCCTCGTTATCATTATAATATTGCTACTGACAAATGCGATCTTTTCAGTTATGGTGGATGTCCCGGAAACGGCAACAACTTTGAAACTTTACAGGAATGTTGCAATGAGTGTTCTGCAAGTAAGTTCAGCTATTTGATATTCTATATTAAGCTGGTAATTACGTTTTAAATTAATATATGAATTTCACGCTAATATTCTGTTTCCCCCAGCAAATTTGGAATGTGAACAATCCAAAAAATATATACAGGACATGATCGACCGTCTATCAAGACCGAGTGGAAAAAGCATTGAACTGTGGTAGTTGGTCACAGGTTCGAACTTCACCAACGGACTAGGCGGATGCAGATTTGTGTGACTTCTTCATGTGTTTTGTTCGTTAAATAGGATCAATTTCTCATAGAATGTCCTTTGGATAGTACCCCTACTTCGTGTCTATGTGTTGTTGGCTGTAAAGGAAATAAATGTCTAAAAATTCTCCCGAGTTCATGTTACTCTGTAACGACTAATAAAGTGTCAAAAAGTGTTTATATTTTATTTATGCCAAGTATATTTAAAATAATCTGGTTTGTTTGAAGAATCGGCCATTTCGGAATACACCAGTGGCCGAATGGCTAAAATTACTGCACACTGCTAGTTCGTTGTAGGTACGCTTCTGACCATGGAGTTTTATGGGTTTCCTTCACGTTACTAACATATAAGTAGGGTCAGTTTTTCATATAAAGTCTTCTTGGGAGGCATCCCAACCCGGTGCTTTGAGATAAAGAAGTAAACAAAAATTAACCATTTCATTGTATTTCATTATAAAATAACCATTACATATGATTTGCTGTTTTTATACTTTTGAAATTGTGTATTATTTATGAAAATATTAATATATTCTAGGTGGCGTTTATATAGAAGGCATAAAAAATATAGGAAATGTTTATTCCAAATTTTATTGATTTTCAATGAAAATGAATAGTAAATTTGAACTTTATGTTCTTTGATTTCTGGTGAAGCATTTCAAAATTTTAAAGTTTATATTTATTAAGATAAAGAATTAATTAAGTAGGCACATATTGTGAAAACAAGTGATTCACGCCATTAATATTTCTATTACATTTAATAAACTGAGGTATTTAGGCCTAATATATATTTTAAGTAAAACATTTAACAAATTATATTTATATAATTTATTTTATAAACTAAAAGTAGAAAACAGCTCAAGTAACTACATTAAACATTAACTGCAATTATAATATTTATTAAAACCTTGGAAATCAAAAATAAAACATTGTTGATCTATTATCATCTTATAGGCCTGTGTATAAGAAAAGTTCATACATTTTTTATTTATGTATTAAAAATATAAAAAAGATAAGCTACGCGTGATTCAGTTAATATTTTTTATGTTGAAATTGTATTTAATAAAATATGCTATTCCCTTCACTATTCAAAGTGTTTTAATTAAAAGCACTGTAATATAAACCCACAGGCATCATCATATACAGGTTCTTCCAAAGAGAATCTACCATTTTAAATTAATTGTTGTAGTTATGTGAATTATTACATGAGAACTTTGCAATGTACATGAAAACAGCGAAAAACTATCCAAGTTTTATACTTACGTTTACCATTACACATGCCATTAATTTTTCAATAAGTTTACCTTATGTAACACTGCATGGTTTCTCATTTCCCGGGAAATTCAGCGGGATTACGAGAAAAATAAATTCTTTTTCCGGGATCTTCTCGCGGTTGCTTCAAGATATAGATTTAGCTTGTCAGCTAAATTCATTTTATTCGGTAGTGTGACAGTCTGTGATTCTTGTACATATTTGAGTTTATTACCTTCAATAGATTCAGAAGCAGCAGATTCTCCAAAAAGACGATCAAACATTTGTTTTGCTGATGAAATTATAATTACCTCAGATTGTTGGAATGCGCTGTCACTCTCGAACTTCTTATATTTGTTTTCACCCGTGAGGTAAGGTAACAGTCCCATCAATTTTTCGTTTCTTTTGTCTTTACGCGGATAACAAAATATTCAAGTACTTTTTTTTAGAAAAAGCAGTGTTCAATTGTTTCAGTTCATTCTAAACGAAAGAGGTAAAATTCTCTGCTGAAAGTAGAGTACATTTTTTTCTACCTAGCTTTTCAACAGCTAGGTTTAAGTTCTAGCGATGTCACGAATTACATCGACTTCTTGTTTTTCAAGGGTAAGATTACTATTATTATATTTTTTGAGATTAATGAGAACTTTCAACACGCATGGTCTTATCTTGATATACCGTTCTAGCATAGCTAAAAGACTGTTCCATCTGGTTTTTGAATCCATTATTAAATGTAAGGGTTTTCTATTTTGGATTTGTTGGCAAAGTATATCTTTTCTCTGCCAATAATTGCCTGATATATTCACTTTTTGTAATAGAATTAATAGCTATACCATCTAGCATAGACACTTTGTAACTATTTCTTGCAAAGTATTCTGTTTTATTAAAAATGAAAAAAGATGATAGATGTTGCTGAGAGGCTTTCCTCTTGTTATTGCTACATTCATGTTCTTCACTTTTATTATCAGAATCACTAGTAGAACACTTGTTTATATTGTGCTTATCATGCAGGTGTCTGATAAGACCACTAGTAAACCAATCTTTGCACTTTATCTCAGCTTTACACTTTTTACAGGTTGCTGATTGTTGTACAGTACTTGGTTTTTTAAAATTTTCAAACAAACAACTCTGATATTACAATGGTTTGATTTTATCAATTATAAAAAAAAGTTGTTATAAAATACGAGTAATTGACAACAGTTACAAACGATAGGATATAAATGGGAATAAAAGCTTTAACAAATTCCTTATAAATGCGAATTCGAAACTAAAGTGCGATGAGTGATGTTTACTATCAGCGAGTGCTCAGCTGCTCAATGATGCGCAAACACAATACATAGATATTACATGAACTAACAAGTAGAGACTTGTAAAACATGGTAATAATAAGCAACATGAAACCTCAAAATTTCTCTCTTAGGTGAGTCTTCAAGATTCAACTTTTCACTTGAAAACTTGACATAAAATGCGAGATTTTTCGGGAAAAAAATTTTCAGGGATTTTTCTCGTAGGGAATAAACGGCGGTAATCCCGGGATCCGGGGAAAGAAACCCTACACCGCACACATCTAACCAATACTCAAATTCTTCCTACGCTCTCTATGTCATATCCATTGTCATTCCTTTCACGGTTCCTACAGATTATTCGTGTCGCGCAATGATGCGCGACACGAATAATCTGTAGGAATCTGTAGGAATGATGAGTCCCACTTTTTGTGGATTCGCCATTTTTGTTTACGGCACTTCTTATATATATATATTGACAACAATACGTTTGAATGCGGATGAGAGATGAAATTCGGACCGTTACTCCTTTATTGGGATACAATCGCATATTTCTCATATAATAATTAACATAATTACAGCAATTTAAAGTATACCCTGTATAACTTTATCGTCATAATAGTTANTATATATATATTGACAACAATACGTTTGAATGCGGATGAGAGATGAAATTCGGACCGTTACTCCTTTATTGGGATACAATCGCATATTTCTCATATAATAATTAACATAATTACAGCAATTTAAAGTATACCCTGTATAACTTTATCGTCATAATAGTTATAGTGTTATCGATAATTTATATATGTATTCATCAATATGTTTCCTGATAAAAATGTATCAAACGCTTTGACGGCCAACTCCTTCGTCACATCAACTTCATTTTGAAACGATACAAACGATCAAGATCTTCCTACGCAATGAGTTTGTGGACATTACTTGGCTACAAGAATGATCTTCTTCAGTCATTTGTTTTCTAAACTTACGATTAGAATGTCGAAATCTGTCCCAATCACGAAGTATTTCGTCTGGTAATGACTACTCAACTAGTGGTTATAACATTGCTGTGTGAGACCCGAAAGGCCCCTGGGTCTAAATTAATGTTTTATTAATCATGTTAAATATTGTCACCAAATATTACTTTATTTTTGGTGAGAAAAATACTGTTTTAACGTGGGAAAAACCCAGATAACAGATGTTACTTCCTTTCACAGAAGAGAACATCCTCTGACTTTCCCTTATCTGGTTAAAATCTGCTCAGATGGGAAATGGTTACCCCTCATTCATTCCCCTTTCATCCGTTCTCATGAAAGAGTTACTGGCCAATGATTGGTCGGTATTCCGAAGATATACAGGAAACTTAGCAGAATTCGGGGAGTTCAGCGACAGATCCGAAAGCGTCCAAACTCCACATACGTTTCCCTCCTGATGACCAACGTCCTTAGACGAGTCACAGACAGAATAAGTCTAGAGTCTGCACATAGAAGTGATACCTTTATATTTTGTGCACATAGTGATCTCCCATACGAAGAAGTAAATGAACTTGCATACAGAGAAGAAGACGAACGACATCTGAAACAGGTCGTATGTTTTATAACGATTTTTGTGAGCTCTCTCTCGATCGCGAATAGGGTATAATATAAGCTTAGCGATCTCCCGATTTGTATCTTATTTGTAGTAGTTCTGTCTCTCGTTTATCCACATTTTGTATGAGTTTACATTCTTGTTTTATTAAATTTATTATTTCGTTTTAATTAAAAATGTCTTTTAATTGCGTGACCGAATCACATACGCGTGTTAATCCGCGTATAATAAGATTGATTAACTGGTGTCAAGGAATCCTGACGAGCATCTGAACTTCGCCGTTCGGATCATATAGCGGTTATCGCTCTCCTATGAAATATTTGAGATCAGATCTAGTGATCTGCATCGTAGAGAACTAGTCTTACCGACTAGTGCCGATTAAGTGTTACACGAGTACTACCTACTCCGTAACCCCGGCTGATCTCACAGCTGCAAACAACTGTATTTCTTTAACTTAGTCCTCAACTATTAGCATCAGTTTCGCCTTTACTTCGATTAAACTTAATTTTATAATATTTCCCCTTATTCAATAACTCGTCTTCCTTCTCGTATTCATTGCATACTTTCGAAAGCAATCTTCTATGCCGCTTTTGACGTCTCCCCGTGTTTTATATAAATAAATTTGAAGTTCACTTTGCAGCGGAATCCTGTGGCGGAGGCCAGTTGATCTGACCTCATAAAAAAGTCCTGAAGATTAGCTCTCCCGGATTCGATTTCCAGGCTTGCAGTTTAATCGACACGTGCATGATTAATGCTTTGAAATAAATGGAAATTTTTGAAATTATTTTAGAATAAATTTCTATTTTTTCAGTCTTAATTAAAACATGTGAAAGACGTTTATAATATCGCGATATTATTACGAAATTTAATAATAATAAATGTGTCATAATATAGCTCTCCCGGATTCGATTTCCAGGCTTGCAGTTTAATCGACACGTGCATGATTAATGCTTTGAAATAAATGGAAATTTTTGAAATTATTTTAGAATAAATTTCTATTTTTTCAGTCTTAATTAAAACATGTGAAAGACGTTTATAATATCGCGATATTATTACGAAATTTAATAATAATAAATGTGTCATAATATAGGCTATATATATATATATATATTACCGCATGTGTCACGTATGGAATTCTCAGCTATGAAAATCACAGT